GTCGGTGCAACAGGCTGCAGTGTCACCCAGGGTCTCCTTGCGATGTGGTGGAGCAGTTCTGGGAGGCTTTGAAGGTATCTGCTCTCTGCACGGACCTGCATTTGGGCTGCCTTCCTGGAAGCCTTGGAAAGGCGGGCCCATGCTCCTGCCATTGGTTTTAGTAAGGGAGATGTAAAGGAGTAGCCAGGCTCAGGACACTGTGGAGAGTGGTTCTGTGCTTCTCAGCGGGGGAGGGCACAGAGCTGGTAGACAGGAGGTACATTGCCTGTCCCGCTCAATGTCGGGGTTATGTCGAGTTCCTGGGGGTCAACGACAGGCTTCAAGGTAAAGTTCTGCAAGATGGTTGCCATGAGTAAGAATATCTCCATGCGTGCCAGGCCCTCTCCAGGGCATATTCGCTTCCCTGGAAGTGAAGACAGCAAATCGCGCTCAACCGGTGTTGCTGAGTAGAACCAGAGTTTGTACTACGCAGATGTGTCGCGCAGCTTTATTTACCAGATACAGCCACAGCAGTGAGAGGGCTGTCAGGATTACTGAGGACATTTGCAAGAGAAGAGTTTGTTGGAGAAAGGCCGTTGGCAGTTTGGTTGTGTGTGTGAGGAACAGGAGCAGAAGTCTTAAACGTGGAGGGGGCATCACAGGAGGCAAGATGAGGGAGAGCAAGGTGATGTAAAGCATGGTGAGGAAGTGGATGGTTGGGGCTATTGGTAGGTGGGTGGTTGCATGCAGCCTGAGAGGTACTTAAGAGGTGCTGGGGAAAAGTGGAGCTACCACAGAAAGACAGGTTGGTTAAGGATGACTTTGGTGGTTGTGTAGGAAGGTGACAGGCATTTTAGAAAGTGTCAGTGGGTCCTGTTCATGTCATTGCGTCGGCATTTCCTAGTAGGAGGTTTGAGAAGCCACCAGGCCCAAACAAGATGGGAGATGCAGCTGGGGAAGGGAGCAGGAGGGAGGACTTATCCAGAGAGGAGTGAGCCCCAAGGAAGCACCAGTGAGACCATGCTGGGAAGAGGGAATGTGTGTTATAGGGAAGGGCAGGATGGTCCCCAGAGGAGGGGTCAACAGAGAGAGGAAGAGAGAGAAAGCCTGTGCTTTACCTGCTGAGAAGGGCATGAAGAACTCGCTCTTCCTAAAGGTGCCATTCTCATTCAAGAAATGTCCAGGGTTGAACTCATTTGGGTTTGGAAACTCTTTACTGTCATGGAGGACAGAACTGAGGATGGGAAATATTGTGGTGCCCTGAGGTAACACGAAGAGAAGAACATGAAGGGGAGGTGAGTTAGATCACTTAATCCGACTGCCTGCCAAGTGAAGACTGAGCTTCCCAGCACAGCTCTACTAGTGCCTTTGGTTTCTCTTTGGGGACCCTTCCTTTGGGGAGGCAGCTTTAGGGAGACCCTGCTAGATGTCACACCAGGAACCGTTGTTGGCTGCTCTTCCTGAATGCTCCCTCTCACTTTCAGATCTTTTATCCTCACCTTCCTCTGGTCATCTGGAGACACCCTACCTAATTCTTCCTCTTTCTTAGTGTTTCACAATAATGAACTTGTAGATGCACTATGTTCCTTCTTTCCTTTGAACCCCGAAAAGCAAAAGCACACAACATTGTGGAAATTAAACTCTCTTTCTCTCTTCTGACAAATTTCTCCTGCCATGATCCTCTTCCTTCCCTTTTCCTGACCAGCCATTGATGGGGAGGTAGGATAAATAATCCATCAGTGATGAGACAAGAGCCCTTTGCTGGAAGCTGAGCAGTTCCCCAGGTCCTGCCTTTTGATTTTACACAGACAGCTGAAAATCAAAACACCAACAGCCCGTGTGCTGCTGTTCCCCTGCCGTACGTGGTCACCCAGAAGAGCAACGAGCATTTCTGCAGAGGGCCAGGCCAGGCCTTGGGTTGCTGTAGCCCATCAGCCTGCCTCTGGCAGTGGCCAGGAGTGACTGCCTCAAGAAGTGTGTTAAGAACAGGGCAAACAGTATTTGCTTGTTCCCTTGAATGCAAACACAGCCTCCAGCACTTTGTGGCTCAGGGGCTTTCTGTGCTCAATAACCACTGACTGACTTTTCTTCCAGGCATGTGCACAGGCTTTCCTGGATGGTGGCGAGCAGTTCCACAGCTGTGCTGCCTTTTGTGTGAGGAGTCATTGCTCTGTTTTTTTGTGAACCCTCTGTGTTTCTGCAGATAGATAAAGCTGCAGAGCAAGTGAGCAAAGGCGTTGGGCAGAGCTACTGTTACAGTCTTGGCCCATGGATTGGCAAAAAGGGATTGCAAGTGAGCTACAGGATCCTGAGGATAAAACCTTCATGAAGGGCTGGGTGACAACAAGGTCAGGCCACAGCATTTGTAGCTTCTGACTTGTAGCTGACAGACTAAGCAAACACGCTGACATCTTGTTGTTGAACTTGAGGGAGCTTGCCCACTAACCTTGGGAATGACGTACTCTCTGAAGCAGGTGTCTTTGGTCACAGTGTGAGGGAGAGCCAAGGGGATGAGGGAGATGAAGCGCTGGATTTCATGGACCACTGCATCTGTGTAGGGCATCTGGGGCCGGTCAGCTACACAAGGTCTTCGTGATCGTCCTACTACCCGGTCGATCTCTTCTTGAACTTGCTCTGTCATGAGAGGCACAAAACATAAAATGTGTAAATAAAACCAAACCTTCCTAAACAGGTTGTCCTAAGCTGTCCACAAATCACAGGTGACAGGAGCATTGATGTTGATTTTGGTGTTGACTATGTTCATAGATCCACTGTGGCCTATGCAAAGAATGTCCTCCTAGTGACTTGGCTAAATAGGAGTAATGAGACATAAAGAAGTGGACACAGTCAAGTCCCTGGCTGTGAGGGGAGTGCAGTTGATGATGATGCCAGTGAAACTGAGGGATCTCTTAACTGCCACCCTGGGGAATGATGGTACAAGGACTTTGCCTGTTTGTGTAAAATATGAAAGAGACAGGACAAAAGCTGGAAGAAGGATATGGTGTTAGACACACACCCAGCCCAAAGAAATAGCTGGAGAGGAAGAGGTTACAGACTGGTACCTTGTATCTTCGGGTATTTGAGTAGAAGCAGAAGCCCATATCTTACAGTGGTGCTAGTTGTCTCAGTTCCGGCAATGAACAAGTCAAAGGTGCTGGTTACCAGGTTCTTCATGTGGAAACTGGAATTGGGATGCTCTTTCTCCTAGGGAAAAGGCTGGGCTGTTTCTTTGGCTGAGCTGAGAAAAGTGGCCCTTTCTTGTGTCATCCCAGGCCTGCCTTTTCACCTAGAGCTGTGGCATTTCTCTGCTAAGGTGCAGCAGCCATCTGGGACATTGGAATGCTATCTTTGTGCAGTAAGCTCAACCCCAGAGCAACCTTCTTTCAAGCTGTGCACTAAGTGGCACATAGGTGCCTGTTTGTCCTTGCTGTGCCAACTGCTTTCCAGTGAAAAAACTGAAAGACAAGACTGCAAATGTCCCTGTGTGTCGGTGAGAGCGGATGAAAGTCTTGCTGTTGATGAAAACAGCTGCAGGTAGTGGCTGATGAGTGTGCAGACCCAGAGCTATAAGCTCTAGCACAGGCAAGATCTGGGGTATTGTTGGTGTCTTCCCGCTGCACAGCCCAGCTGCCTGAGAAGGTGTCATCCCAATGTCTGTGTTACTTAGGAGAGGGAACGGGCTCAGCATAGGAGCTAGAGGTGTATGCTGCTTCCTTACCTCCTGCATTTTGCTGAGGAAGCAGTCAATGAAATCCTGAGGAGAGCTGGGATCTAGGGAAGCTTGGTGTATCTTCACCTCCTCTGACACAAAGGCTTTTAGAGCATCAATTTCTGTGAATATTTTGTTGTGTGGACCAGGCAAGTAATCCAGGATCTTTGAGAACATCTGGTAGAGCTGGTAGGAAAGAAACAGGAAGGTCCCTAGCATGACCGTTGCCCCATCCTTTGATGTTAGCAAAAAGCCTAGGAAGGCCATAACCCTCTCAACCGAGCCAAGCAGAAGGGCTATCAGGCTGGACAGTCTGACAGGGTGGTAGGGGCTTGCTTAGTAGTAGTAGGAACCTTAGAGATGAAAAAGACTGTTCAGGACTAGGGGGAAGCTGCACTTAGCTGGCAAAGCCAACTCTGCTGGTGAGGGTGCTTCTTGCTCTTGAATGAATTCCCTCCTGTGCAGCAGAGCATTGATGGGGTCCTAGTTATAAGACTGAAATGGGACTTCATTGGGAGGCAGGCCTCCTGCTCCACTGGGAGAATGTTGCCACTGTGAAATGGCTCCTGAACGTACCTGTCCCCAGTGGGAGTTCATCATCTCAAAGATGTTGTTCATGTTGTTCATCAGGGCCAGGAACTTCTTGTCTTTATAGTCGTATCGTTTCCCAAAGACAATGGAGCATATGACATTGGAGATAGCACAGCTCAGCATGAAGGTTGGGTCAAAAGGTGTTCCTGTGATTTCAGAAACGTTACAAACCATGAAAAAAAACTAAATGTATGGCTGCTTATGGCTACTGTGGGTAACATGAGCTCTAGTTGTTAGTGGAAATATCAGATCACAGTCTCTGAGTGACACAGAATGGTCCTCCAAAAAGAACAGTAGGTGATCACGGAATTATGTACTGCTTTGTAATGAGGGGTAGCTGGTGCATGAACCAAACACATGGGAACTTTATAGTTCTATGCTGAAGACATGGGCTCCCTTAATACAGTCCTTTTTTTGCAAACATAAGCTGTATTAAAAATAGACCATACCCTTTGTTTTGTTGATCTCTTCCAGCAAATACTCAGTTTCCTCCTGGATCCTTTCTTCAATGCTCCTCTTCCCCATTCCAAAGTTGCGCAGGGTGCTGAGAGTGAACCGCCGGACTTGTAACCACTCCTTGTTGTTGCTAAAAATAATCCCTGCAGAGGAAGAAGGAAGAGGGAAGACCTGGCTTGAGCGTGCTGGGTGCGAGATGAAGAGAGGCTCATGGTGACAGTGAATCCTGTCCCTAGGAGAGCACTGACATGGTAGTGTTATAGAGTACTGCGGTTTGAAGGCAATCTCTCGAGGTTCTGTAGTCCAGCTGCCTGCTTTTGGCCTTCTCCACCACATACCCAACCTCCTTGTGAGCAATTCATCACTCATATCCGCACATAATTTCCCTTGCTGCAGCTAGTGGCTGTTGCTGCTTGCCCTTTCTAGCTGAAATCATCACTGAGATCAATCCATCTCCATTTGTCTGCTACCCTCTTTGGATGGTGGCAGTCAGCAATTACAGCCCACTCTGCCTTCCCTTCTCCAGGTGGGACCCACCCACTCCCTGCAGACTTCCTTTGTGCATGGTACACTCCAGCTTTAATCTGCCAGATGCACCCTCAGCCCTTCCCTCCTTCTCAGAAGGAGCTTGGTCAGCAAACATACCTAATCCATTGTTAGCCCTGTCTCCTATAGGCATGTGTCCTCTGGCAGCAAACTCGTCTGCGCGATCAATCAAGGCTTCTTTCACCACATCATGTCCGTTCAGCACCACGACTGGGTCAGAGCCCACATGCACTGTGAACACTGGTCCATACTCTTCACTGAGCTGTCAAAATGCAAGAGGGAACTTGTCCATGGAGTAGATAGGGAGGAGAAGTTGAAAAGGGCCTTACTGCTGCATCCCACTGTATGCAGTGCAGCCTCACAAACCAGCAACATCAAGATTTGGTGCACTCATTATAAATGTGGGCGTGGAGGGGGTTCCCAGCTATCAGGCCCTGAACAACAATGGCAATAGCAGTGAGGGAGAGCAGCTGAGACTCCCATGAATTTTGCGCTCCCCTAGGATTGCCATTCATCAAGCTATGGCCACAGGTTGTCCCCATGCACAGGTCGCACACATTTCTCACCCACAGAAGAAAGTAAGAAAGAAAGTGGCCTTACCTTCTGGAGGGTTTTGGCTAAGTTCTTTGGTTTCACCTGCAGCACATTACCTAGGATGGGAAGGGGAGCTGGTCCTGGAGGCATCTTCCCCTTTCCAGACCTCTTTCTCCATGCTGCGAATGAGAGCAGGCAAGCGATGCAAACCAGGAGGACAACAGTGGCTGCTCCCAGGAGCTCCATTTGCTTCTGCAGCTCAGGAGGGAGTGACTCTGGCTGCCTGAGCCCAAGCTTATATACTGAAGGGCTATGTTAGCTATGTTAGCTCAACAGCAGGTTCTGGATCACGTGGCTGAGTTAGTCAATGCTACTAGTCAATCATTTGTTAGACTGCCCTGTGTTACGAAACTAGGACTTCTCTCAGTGTTAATTGGTCATTGAAGACATGCCTTATCTCAAATGACTGCAGAGGCCAAGAGAGGTTAAGAAATTTATAATGTGTTCATAAAACTTGTTTTGTTTCCCCTAAAGTTCATTGCTAAAGAGATGACACGAGGGGTGCACTCTTCTACTGAGGCTCTCCCAGAAATTCACCGTCACAAGAGCATCTCCCAAGTACTTCAGTGCCATTTGGATTTTCTATTCTTCAGTATTGATTGTACAAGCTCTCAGTGGGGTAAGCCATCCTTGCTTGTTCCTGAAGCCTTCCTGACATTATCAGTGGAGTTTGCACTGCATGTGATATGCCAAAGAACATACCGACATGTTCTCCTCAGTGCACAGCAATTGCCTCAGTCTCTCTCCCTAGGGGTTTCTGGTCTCACAAGAGAGGAAAGTATAAAATATCCATCTAGTGAGGGCAGAAAGGTCTCCAGACATCACAGTAGACAAGAAAGGACTTTCTTGGAGGGATAAGGTAAAGACATAAGAAAAGGGGACTAGACCTTGGGACTCTGACCTCTTCAAGGTCTCCTAGAGGAGAGAAAGAGTGAGAGAAGCAAGTACAGAAGACAGAAATCAAGAACTTGAGAGGGTCTCTCGGGAATGGCTTCCCAAGCTGAGACAGAGCTGCACTTCTGAGAGGCTGGATATAGGTTAGTGCAACCTGGCAACTAGTCCTTGCACTCGCAATGACCAAAGAAGCTCACACAACCTACCGCTGGAAGCTGGCACGCACAAGTTCCTGTTTTGTTGATGTCTGACTCCAATATGAGGAACTGCACCTTTGGAAGGGCCAGAGGTGCTCTGGGAGGCTGCAGAGCATGTCTGGTGTGTTGTGAGGACTTCAAAAAGAGCTGGAGGCTTCCTGTCCAAGATTACTTCAGGGGCTGCGTACCTGCAAGGTCCCAACAGCAGTGGCAATGGCAGGTAGAAAAGACCCTTAGGGCTGTGGCACTGCCTGTGCTCAGCTTGCTCAGTCTGGCCATATCCCTCTGTCTCTCCTGAGCTCTGACGCTTTCGCAGGCAGATGGATCTCATCCAACTGAGCAGAAGGTGTTGTGAGGATAGGGGATGTGGGACTTGTTGGGAATTAGTGAGGAGCCTGAGTCAACTGGGTGCTTGGTTGGAGTGTGCTGGGTTTGCTGTGCAGCAGTATGTTAATGTGTTTCCTCTTTGCTCAGAAGTGCTAGTGAAGGCCTCAATCCCTTGCAAAAGTTTCTGTAGCTTCTCTATGAATTCTTAGGTCATCCTCACTCTCTCACATAGGTGCAATAATTTGCTAGTTGTTCTCTTTAAATCTCATTTCACTTCTTAAAGACCCATACTTGATACTTTGGTGGGAAAACTGCATTGCCAACAAGTTTGGGCTGCTTGCTGATCTGCTGGCCTAAACTGTATCAGCTCAGATGTTGCCAGGGCAGTTCCTGGAAGTTCATGTAGCTTTAGCGAATTACACTGGGTGAAAGTGGAGTTCATGGGAGTTTGCACTGCTACATGAGGTCACTCTACTGCCAGCGTTCATGACCTTAGAATCATAGAATCATAGAATCATTTAGGTTGGAAAAGACCATTAAGACCATCGAATCCAACTGTTAACCTAACACTGCCAAGTCCACCACTAAATCATGTCCCTAAGCACCACATCTACAGGTCTTTTAAATACCTCCAGGGATGGTGACTCAGACACTTCCCCGAGTAGCCTCTTCCAGTGCTTGACAACCCTCTCCATGAAGACATTTTTTCCTAATATCCATTCTAAACCTCCCCTGGCACAACTTGAGGCCATTTCCTCTTGTCCTGTCACTTGGTACTTAGGAGAAGAGACCAACACCCACCTCACTACAAGATCATTTCAGGTAGTTGCAGAGAATTATAAGCCTCTTTTACATGAACCTCCTTTTCTCCAGACTAAACAAACCCAGTTCCCTCAGCTGCTCCTCTTAAGACTTGTTCTCTAGACCCTTCACAAGCTTCATTACTCTTCTCTGGATGTGCTCCAGCATCTCAATGTCTTTCTTGTAGTGGGGGGCCCAAAACTGAACACAGGATTTGAAGTGTGGCCTCACCAGTACCGACTACAAAGGGACAATCACTTCCCTAGTCCTGCTGGCCACACTGTTTTGGATACAAGCTGGGATGCTGTCGGCCTTCTTGGCCACCTGGGCACACTGCTGGCTCATATTCAGCCAGCTGTTGACCAACACCCCCAGGTTCTTTTCTGCCGGGCAACTCTCCACCTTACCAACTTCCCTGTAAAGTTCCCTCATTCCTGGGGACAGGGGCTCACTTCTCAGCTCTGCCTCACAGTTTGTGACCTAGTTTGGGTAAAATCCCTAGGACTAGGAATACTTTCAAGATTTCTCACTTTTAGCAGGATAAAGTCATTATATTCCAAATATTCCCACCACCTGGGCAGACACACTGGGGATTTACAAAGCAGGAAAACCCATAAGACTATTCATTCACACCTTTCCCTGTGGGAAGCTGTGGGCTTTTTATGTCACAGTAGTGTCCAAAGGTTTTCTGAGTACTCACTTCTGTTTGCAGATGCTAAGAGTAGGCAGGGCTGGTCTGTGCTCTCCATCCAGGACTGTGAAATTCCAGGAAGGCCAGGCTGAAATCCCTTCCTCTCCATCTTCCCCAGGAACTTTGGGTTTAAGTTGACTGGAGGCACATATTAGGGATATTCAAAGAAAAGGCTACCAGTGTTGTAGCTTTGCCTTCTTCTCTAAAATAAAGCACAAGCTTGAAGAAAATCTGTCATCATTGTGTAGAATCTCCTGCAGGCTTGCTGCCTGCGCCTTCTCTTTTGGGACCTCAGTTCAGAAGGTGGCACTGCAAAATGCCACTCCTGCCCACTGTGCAGCCAGCATCCCTCATCCGCGGGACACTCGGTGTGGATATCCCCGCTGTCTGCAAATGCCGTTCAGCTTCTGTGGAGGAGCGTGTTGACTGGGTCATTCCTCCAAGCACTGCCATTTTGTACCATGTACGGTGCATGGTACAGGCCAGACACACAGCGATCTGTCAGAGGCAGTCCCACGATGCGCAGGGCATTTTGTACTCCTCTTCCATTTCTTGGTGGTTGTGTTTAATACCTCCTTTTCTTCCCACAGGTCTCTAGAGAGCCTTCTACAGCCAGAGCAACTCCTATACTGCAGCTATGTCTGCTCTGGTCTCAAAATTGTTAGGAGGAGAGGATTTTCTTGATGGACATCCCATGAAGATTTTAGCTTGCTGGGATCGTGATCAGCTTCACGCCAGTGGCCTACAGAGACATTTACTTCAACTACCCTTACCCTCTGCGTGTCCTGTTTGTGGTGGTCTTGGGTACTAGCTAAATTGTTGCTTACAGCTGGGTCATTGTAATGCGTGAGAACTATCGAATGGATGAAGAAGAGATTCATGAGGAAGAGATACCAGGCTACTTTCCACTGCCTATAACAATTTCTTCCAAACAAAGCATTTCATTTCCATGAATTTCAGGCTCATTTCACTTCCCTTCCATCTCTACATCAGCTGACACGGCTGTCAAGTATGTGTGTAGAAATTAGGAAAGGGTGCTTACCTGAAACCGATCTCAGCACAGGTATTGCTATACGTAACCTTTATAGGTGTGTATATATAGGTTTGTTTGGTTTTTTTACAGGTATATTTCTTATAGGTATCCCCTACAAGGAAGATGGGGACAGACTTTTTAGCAGTGCCTGTAGCAATAGCACAAGGAGTAATAGTTTTAAACTAAAAGAGGTAGGTTTAGACTAGATCTAAGGAAAAAATTTTTCACAATGAGGGTGCTGAAACACTGGCACAGGTTGCCCAGAGAGGTGGTAGATGCCCCATCCCTGGAAACATTCAGGGTCAGGTTGAATGGAGCTCTGAGCAACTTGATATAGTTGATGATATCCCTGCTCACTGGGATCTTTACCATCACTAGATGACTTTTAAAGGTCCCCTTCAACCCAAATTCTGTGATTCTATGATTCTATGATTGCGTGGTGGATCTACAGCACTCCCAATGTTGTTTCATATAGTTATTCTTCAAGGACATGTAGACATTTTTCCTGTCAGCAAAAATAAAGTATTGGTGGGTTAAAGGGTAATGGAAACTATCTCTCTATAGCTCCAAAGTACTTTGTTTATGTGTTATTGTTTATCCAATTATCAGCAGGTAACACAGTCAAATGAAGTATTCAGCAGCCACAAAGCGGCTGTGAGATTTGGGCAAGCTGTCTTGGCACAACGCTCAGCTTCTGCAGAGATGAAACCTCCCTCCCTGCCAAAGTCCAAATGTTTTTCCTGGGTGCCTCCCCACCATGGCTGCCCAGTGCCCCGGCAGGCGCTGGGACGAGCACATTCGGTTCATGAGCGCTGCTCAAACAGCAGCCACGCAGGCAGCCTGTCGAGACCCATTGGTTTCAGCCCCTGCTGTGCAGATCAGCTGAAGGAGTCTCGCACTTTGTGGAGCAGCCCTCCCGGGTGGTGCATGAAATAAGCAGTGTGCAGGGTAGGCACAGCGGCGTTCTTCACCCGCCTGGGACCACGGCGTCCGGTACAGCTGTAGAGGAAGGACGGGCTGTGGGCTGAGGTGGAAGAGCAGAAGAAATGCCTCCCCTGGACTGAGCTACTACTCGTGCCTGTTGACAAGGGCTGGCTGGAGGGGTGAGTGTGCTGCCTGCTGCACGGTGCTGTGCGGACGTCGGGGAGCTGGAGGGTCTGCCGAGAGCAGAAGTGTGGGTGGCTACCAGTGGAAGTGCATTATTAAGGGTCAAGATTAGAAATCCCACTAATCTAATCCACACGCCGTGCTGGGATGT